TGCTTTCCTTCTAAGATCATGAACAAGACTATGACGTCCACTTTTGCCACTTCTATGTGACACTGTTGGGTCTGGAAGTTCTAGCCAGACTAATTAGGCAAGAAAAATAAATAATGGGCACCCAAATTGGAAAGGAGTAAGTAAGACTATCTCTATTTACAGATGACATGATCTTATATGTAGAAAATCCTAAAGAATCCACAAGAGAACTGTTAGGAGTTAACAAATGAATTCAGTAAAGTTACAGGGTACAAAACCAACATGCAAAAATTAATTATGTATCTATATACTAGCAATAAATAATGCAAACATGAAATTAAGAAAACAATTACACTTAAAATAGCATCAAAAAGAAAACTTACTAAAATTAATACGGAATTTCAAGGGACTCTGAATAGCCAAAACAGTCTTAAAAAAGAAGAAAAAGTTGTAGGTCCTACACTTTCTGATTTCAAAATTAATTACAAAGATACAATAAACTGAAACCAGCATGGTATTGGCATAAAGAAAGACATAACGACCAACAGAATAGGACAGAAAGCCCAGAAATAAGCCCTCACATATATGGTCAAATGATTTTTGATAAGGGTGCCAAGACCATTCAATGGGGAAAAGAGTGTTTTTTCAACAAATGGTGCTGGGACATGTAGATATCCACATGCAGAAGAATGAGTTGGAGACTTACTTTGCACCATATACAAAAAATTGTCTCAAAATGGATTAAAAACCTAAACATGAGACCTAAAACCATAACCTCTTAGAAGAAAACAGAATAAAACCTTAATGACATTGCATTTGGCAATGATTTCCTGGATATGACACCAAAAGCATAGGCACCAAGAGCAAAAATAGACAATTTGGATTATACCAAAATTAAAAATGCCTGTGCATCCAAGGACAAAATCAACAGAGTGAAAAGGCAATCCACGGAGTAAGAAAGAATATTACAAATTAGGTAGAAGAGGCTAATATCCAGAATATATAAAGAACTCCTACAACTCAACAACAAACTTGAGTAAAAACCAGGCAAAGGACTTGAATAGGTATTTGTCCAGAGATGATATACAAATAACCAATAAGCACATAAAAATGTTCAACATCACTAATCATTAGAGAACTGCAAATTGAAATATAATGACATACCACTTCACGCCCATTAGGATGGCTACTATAAAGTAGTATATACTTAGTTTTGTAAGTTTTTTATAGTTATTTACTATAAAAAAACAAAACAAGTGTTGGCAAGGATGTGGAGAAATTGGAATCCTTGTGCACTGTTGGTGGGACTGTAAAATGGTGCAGCTGCTGTGGAAAACAGTATGGTGACTCCTCAAATAATTAAAAACAGAATTATATGATTCAGCCATTCCACTTCTGGCTATATACCCCCAAACTGAAAGCAGGCTCTTGAACAGATATTTGCACACCCATATCTGCAGCAACATTATTCACAATAGTCAAAAGATGGAGTAACCCAACTGCCTATAGACAGCTGAATGGATAAACAAAATGTGCTATATACATATTACCATTTACCCTTAGAAAATAAGAAAATCCTGTTACATGCTACAGCATGGATGAACCTTCAAGATATTTTACTAAATGAAATCAGCCTATTACTAAAAGACAAATAATATATGATTCCATTTATATGAGGTACCTAGAGTAGTCCAATTCTTAAAGACAGAAAGCAGAATGGTGGTTGCAAGGGGTTGAGCATAAGGTGGAACGAGGAGTTTGAGTGGGTATAGAGTTTCAGTTCTGCAAGATAAAAAAGAGTTCTGGAGATGGAGGATGGTAATGTTTGCACAGTGACAGGAATGTACCTAGTACCACCAAGGTGCACACTTAAAAATGGATAAGATGATAAATTTTGTTATATGTATTTTACCACAATTAAGAATAAAAAAAGAAAGAGAACAAGAAAATCAAATAAGAATAAATTTAACCATGAAGGTGCAAGACTTGGACAATGAAAACTACAAAACATTGCTGGAAGAAATTAAAAACCTAAATAAATTGATAGACATTCTGTGTTCACAGACTGGAAGACTTAATGTTAAGATGGCAATAAACTCCAAACCAATCTACAGATTTGAACCAATTAACATCAAAATCCCAATGACCTTTTGGCAGAAATGGAAAAGCTGATCTTAAAATTCATTTGGAAATACAAAGGGGCTGAACAGCCAAAGGAGTCTTGAAAAAGAACAAAACTGGAGAACTCATGCATCTCAATTTTAAAACTTACTACAAAGATACAGTTATCAAAAACATTACGGTAATGGAATACAGCTAAGCATGTAGATCAAAGGAATACAATGGAGGGCCCAGAAATAAACCTTCACATCTATTGTCAACTGATTTTTGACAAGAGTGCCAAGATCATTCGATGGGGATAGAATAGTCTTTTTAACTACTGGTGCTAAGACAACTGGATATCCATGTGGAAAAGAATGATGTCATATCATACACAAAAATTAACCCAATATACATCAAATATGCAAAGGAAAGAGCTAACAAGTATAAAAGTCTTAAAAGAAAATATAGAGCTAAATCTTCAAGACTTTGGATTTGGCAATGGTTTCTTAGATATGACAACAAAAGCACAAGTAACAAAAGAAAAAATAGGATTTCATCAAAAGTAAATGGTTATGTATCAAGGACAGTAATAAGCTCTCCCAGAGAGTGGGAGCAAATATTTGCAAATTATATATTCAATAAGAATCTACAATCCAGAATATATAAAGAACTCTTGCTCAAAAACAAAAAGACAAACAACTTAATTATAAGTGGGCAAAGACTTGAATAGATGTTTCTCCAAAGAACACATATATATATATATGGCCAACAAGCACACAAAAAGATGTTTAATGTCATTAGCCATTAGGAAAGGGAAAGGCAAATCAAAACCACAATCAAAATGACAATGAGTATGAGATACCACTTCACACCTACTAGCATGGCAAAAAAACGCCACAAAACAAAGTAAATAAAAAGTGCTGGTGAATGTGGAGAGATTGGAACCCTCAGACATTGCTGGTGGGAATATAAAATGGTGTATCCTCTACGGAAAACAGTTTGATAATTACTCAGTAAACTAAACACAGAATTACCATACGACCCAGTACTTCCACTCCTAAGTATATACCCAAAAGAACTGTACACAGCTGTTTAAATAAAAAGTGGTATACAGTAGCCAAAAGATGGAAACAACCTAAATGTCCATGAACAGATGAATGGATAAATAAAATGTAGTATATACTCGCAATGAAGTATTATTCAGCCATAAAAAGCAATAAAGTACTGATACATGCTAGGACATGGATGAATCTCAAAAATATGCTAAAGTGATAGAAGTCTGACATAAAGGTCATATATTGTATGATTCCATTTATATGAAATATACAGACTAGGCACCAGAGAGTGAGTGCTTAACGATTATGAAGTGTCTACCAGAGGGATGAAAAAGTACACAAACCAGATAGTGGTGCTGATGTAAAACACTGTAAAACTCAGTGTCACTGAACCGTATACTTTAAAATGGTTAAAACTGTAAACTTTATGTAAAGTGTGTGTTTCACCACACACAAAAAAACCCTCTATCAAGATCTTTTTTCCCTATCTCCTCTATGGAACAAAAAGCCTTCATCTGTATCATTCCCGATTCTTCACCTACTTTAAAGAAAAAAAGTCATATTGTACTATTTATACATGTAATCATTATCATTTAATACCTACCAAAAACTCAATTATGAGAAATATTTATGGCAAATTGTCTGAATGCCTTGTGTCTCCTTTCCTCTAGACAAGTGGTCTCTAAATTTTTTGATCATGTAGTCCTACTGATAAAGTATTTTTGAGCACAAATCACCGAAGCAGATATTTATTTATAAAGTTTTAAATTATGACTGTACTCATATATTATAAAAGATATATAGAAATATAAATTTTAAAAGGTTGAGAAAAATAAATATAAATCTAACATTTTTTTTTTAACACCTTTCTTTCTGTACCCTAATGACCCATTCTGCAAGCATCCTTCTTTGGAGAGCACTCCTTTAGATACCCTAAATTTTATTCTTGGGTTAAAGTAATAGTCTGCACTCGCTGACCCCTTGAAATCTACCTTTACCGAACTCCCTAACCTAAGGTCATATTAACCTTACGGGTGTTGTTACCGAATCTCTTGTAAGGATGGTGTTGAAGACTCTTATATACACCGTGTGCCTTCTTTATGAGGATAGATAAGAGAAATTTCTCTTAGGTCTTAGTATCAGAAATATCTATAATGCTTTTGAAAATTTAGTTTGTTTTTATATTACAGACTTACGTAATTGATCACAAAATTCTAGCAACACCAACTGCTAGAAAATAAAGCGAAATTTGTGGCTCACTTCTAGCAACCATACCCACATGTATATTGCTCTCCCAACTTGTCTTCCCATCACTCACAACCCTTCATTTGTTTATTTTTAAAAATCATGTTGTAGCTCACCCCTCCCTGGCTTCAATTTAATTTTCTATTGTTCTAATTCTTCATTTACTAAAAAAAAAAAAATCATTATTTTATTACTTATATATGTGTGTGTGTATATATATATATGTGTATGTGTATATCTATGTATGTGTTTAAAAGCACCTCAAAATTTCTTGAAAGACAGGGAGGAACGAATAAACAAAAAAAACCAGGCACTATTGTTCAGAATGGAGATCATCCTAAATTGGAAGCTCCCCTGTGCCAGGGGTACACTTTGCAGATTCTGAAGCATTTAGCAGCAAAGCCCTTCGTCCAAAGGGCAATTCGTAACTGAGTTTTGATGAAAAGAATGACAACTCACAATAGCACTGTACTACACTTTCTCACTCTTTTCCAGTTGGTAAGAAATGTTAAAGTGAGGAAAGGGCAATTGGCTTTTTGTTCACCTGTGTGCAAAGCTTAACTAAAAAGTCCATGAAAAAGGCAGTCACAATGCCAGATGGAATTTGTAGCCATGTACCTGGATGTGTTTCCTTCTGGTGTGCTCAGAAGTCATTTGGGGATGACCCGTATTCAATGCTTTCTTGTTCTTCTTGTTCCGCCTCTCAAAGTATCTTCTCTGATGGTCGGTGAGGCTGCTGTATAATTTAATTCGCCTGGGTGACAGACAAACTCTTTCCTGGCCAAAAGCTTGGATCAGTCGGGCTGTGTCAATGGTAGAAATAGAGCTGCTCCTCTCATGCAAAGCCACCTCTCTATCTGTTTGGGTCAATATATCTGATTCCACAGGAGAAGTGGTGGTGGAAACGATGTTGGTGGGGGTGTCTGTGAGCAGCTCACTCTCCTCTGAGGGTCTAGAATCTGAAGAAGTATTGTTTTTATAATGAAAACTTGGCTGTTTTCTCAGGATATACTTATCAAATTTAATCTGTTCAATTTTAATCTGATTGGGTTTCCCAGCTTGATGAGTAGAAAGCACCTTGCTTTTTTTAAGCTCTCCTGCAGTTTTATGGAATTTCTCTAGGCTCTTATACCGCTTCTTTTTCTGAAGCTTGTTTTTCTGCTGTTGCTGTCTACCACTCCATTCCTTAACATCTCGTTCCCCTTTGCTGTCATCCTGTGTGCTTTCAGAGGTCCGGAGAGAGTATGTGATGGGATTCTGAAGAAGTTTAGCCAAACGATCAAGTCGCTCCACCAAGGATAGTTCTTTCCTGTCACTGAACTCAGGAGGTTTCTGTTGCCTCTTTCGTTCCTGATACTTGTTCCAGAGTTCATTCAAACTCACAGTGTGCTGAGCTGTTGGCTGTGGGGTGACATTATGATCCTTTTTTTGATCATTAATTTGTTTGTCACTTTTTGGATAATCTCTAGCCCGACTTTTAGCAGTATGCATCACTTCGTTTTCCAAGTTTACATTGATACTGAGGCTCTCTATTCTGGTATAATCTGCCTTTGTCTTTTCCATGTTTTGATGAGGGGAAGGAAGACGGGTGTGTTCTCTTTGTTTGTCTGGATGATGCTGAAAGACATCTTTCCAAGAATGTCTCATGAAAACACTCCTCCCTAAGGATTCATGGCAAAAATCTTGATCACTTGGTAGGTGCACTGGATGATGAAAGTAAAACTTGGCCGACCTGAAGACAGAATGGGTAGTATTTTCAAATTCTGAATGACATTTGGACTCTGAAAAGGAGAAAGAAAAAGATTTTAAAGGACTTTCAAAATATTTGCATTCCGTTTAGAAATGATATTCACACTTAATTCTCTAGATAGAGAACAAAGACCTAAGGAAAGAACAGTTTTAGCTAAAGTTTCAGGAAATTCACTGCCTACACAAAGGATTCTAGCCATGTGCCTACAGGCCAGATGACACAATAAAACTTTATTTTTTTTTTTTAAAGATTTATTTATTTGAGAGAGTGAGAATGAGAGAGAGAGAGCACATGAGGAGGGGAGGGTGAGAGGGAGAAGCAGGCTCCCCCCGAGCAGGGAGCCCGATGCGGGACTCGATCCCGGGACTCCAGGATCATGACCTGAGCCGAAAGCAGTCGCTTAACCAACTGAGCCACCCAGGCGCCCGACACAATAAAACTTTAAAGGACTGAGGGTCAAAAGACTTGGATTCTAGGTTAGATTCTGCCATAGACTGGCTGTGTGACCTTAGGAAGGTACTTTAGTTCTCTGGATTATAACAGCAACTGTTATATATTCACTGCCTGCTACATGTGGAATATTACGATATGTGCGCTCTATCTTTTTTCCTTTCAATTTAATCTTGTTGATAAAACAGAAGGAGGTACTGTTAACCTTATTTTCAGCTAAGAAACCTGAGATTTCATTTTCATCATCAGTAATTAAACAGGTGGGATTAAAAAAAACTCTTCATGTGTCTTAGAGGCTTTTAAAATTCCTTTCTCTGAACCATCTTCACATTTCCCCCCAATTTTTTTTATTGTGGTAAAATACACCTAACATAAAATTTACCATCTGTGGGTGCCTGGGTGGCTCAGTTGGTTAAGCGACTGCCTTCGGCTCTGGTCATGATCCTGGAGTCCCGGGATTGAGTCCCACTTCTCCCTCTGACCCTCCCCCCTCTCATGCTCTCTATCTCATTCTCTCTTTCAAATAAATAAATAAATAAAACCTTTAAAAAAATTTACCATCTTCATCTTCAGTTTTTGACAGTCATTATTCTAATGTCAAAACAGGCATTTTTAGATATAAGAACATCTTACAATTATAAACCCTAACTGTAAACAATAATATACACATTTCTGGAGTTCCAAGTCATGTGTAAAAACAAAGATATATACATGCAACAAAGTAACACTTGTGACTATGGGATCCTTTTTGCCCACACTATAGATTAGTGGCAACCAGAATTTTCATTACTCTGAGAATCCCTAAGACATTTCCCCAGACTACAGTAAGATACATGGATCTGCTTTTATACCTAAAGTATAAAGACTCTCAAACCTCCCAACAAACAAAAGTCCAGGACCAGATAGCTTCACTGGTAAATTCTATCAACATTTAAAGAATACAAAATCTTCTCAAAGTCTTCCAAAACGTACAAGAGGAGGGAACACTTCCAAACTCATTTTATGAGGCCACTATTACCCTGACAAGGACACTACAAGACAAGAAAATTACAAGCCAATATCCTTAATGAACACAGGAGCAAAAATCCTCAACAAAATATTAGCATATATATAAAAAGGATCATACATCATGATCAAGTGGGATTTATTGCAGGGATTCAAGGATGGTTTAACATCCACAATTCAATCAATGTGATATACCAAACTAACAAAATGAAGGACAAAAATCATATATCATCTCAACAGATGCAGAAAAAGTATTTGAGAAAATTCAATATCCATTCATGACAAAAACTCTCAACAAAATAGGTATAGAAGGAATGTACCTCAACGTAATGCAGGTCATATATGACAAGACCATAGCTGACATCATACTCAATGGTAAAAAACTGAAAGCCTTTCCTTTAAGATCAGGAACAAGACAAGGATACCTACTCTTGCCACTTTTATTCAACATGCTACTGGAAGCCCTGGCCAGAGTAATTAAGCAAGAAAAAGGCGGGGGGGGGGAGTCACCCATTCCTGTCCTCTTCCAATCTGTTCTTCAAACAGTAATCTTCAAAAATGTAAACTGGACCTATCATTTTCTATTTAACAACTTTCTCTTACTCTTAGAACAAAACTCAAACTCCTTAATGAGGTGTACATGTACCTCACTATGCATTACTCTCCTCCTTGATAATTATATTCCAATTATGCTGGCCTTTCCCCTTGTTTCATTAAGTAGCATAAGCAAAGGCATAAAAGTGGGAAAGCACTAAGCAAATAGTTGAGTGTAAACATTCAGTTTATGTGGCTATACAATTTATAAGTAAAGGCAACAGATAAAATAAGGTAGGAAAGGTTACTTGGGACCAACAGAACAGAGAGCCCAGAAATAAATCCACCCACATATGGTCAACTGACCTTCAATAAGAGTGCTTAGAATACCCAGAGGGGAAAGAACAGGCTCTTGAACAAATCGTGTTAGAAAACTAGATATCCATAGGCAAAAGAATGAAATGGACCCTTACCTTGCACCATACACAAAAATCAACTCAAGGGGTACCTGGGTGGCTCAGCTGGTTAGGCATCTGCCATCAGCTAGGGTCATGATCTCAGGGTTCTGGGATCGAGTCCTGGGTCAGGCTACCTGCTCAGCAGGGAGTCTGCTTCTTACTCTTTCTCTGCCCCTCCCCTGCTCATGCTCTGTCTCTCAAAATCTTAAAAAAAAAATCAACTCAAAATGGATTACAGGCTTAAATGTAAGACCTGAAACTATAAAACTCCTAGAAGAAAACAAAGGGGAAAAGTTTCACGACACTGATCTTGGGAATGATTTCATGGATGTGACCCCAAAAGCACAGGCAACAAAAACAAAAATAAACAAGCAGGACTACCTCAAAATAAAAAGGTTCTACACAGAAAAGGAAAAAATAAACAAAGTGAAAGGGCAACATATGGAATGGGAAAATATGTGCATACTGTATATCTGAGATGAGGTTAATCTCCAAAATATATAAAGAATTCATATAACTCAGTAGTAAAACAATAATCCAGCAGAAAAACTGGGCAAAGGACTTGAACAGACATTTCCTCAAAGAAGACATATAAATGGCCAAAAGAAAGAAAGAAAGAACGAACGAACGAACGAACGGTAGGTAGGTAGGTAGGTAGGTAGGTAGGTAGATATTTGGGGACAAATTATGTGGAGCCTGGAACACTAGCCTAAGGACCTTAACTTTATTCTTAATGGAAATTAAGACCCACTATACCATTTTGAGTAGAGGAGTAACATGATTATGGCTGTATTTCAAGAAGGATACCATAGGAACAGGATAAAAGAAGCAAAATTTCGAAGGGCCAGATAGAATACATTAAAAAATAAAGCAAAAATATGGAGTGCCTGGGTGGCTCAGTTGGTTAAGTGACCAACTCTTGATTTCGGCTCAGGTCACGATCTTGTCTCAGGTCATGATCTCAGGGTTATGAGATCCAGCCATGTGTTGGGCTTGCACTCAGCAAGGAGTCTGCTTGAGATCCTCTCTCCCTCTCTTTCTGTCCCTCCCCCCCAGCTCATGCTCACTCTCGCGTTCTCTCTCAAATAATCTTTTTTTTTTTTTTAAAAAAAGCAAAAGTAAAAGAATGAGGAAACAGGTAACATTACTGTAACATATATTTGTTTTCTAATATCAGTATTTTTAATCAACACAGTCCCACTGACTGGGGGCTGAAGTAAAATATATAGTAAAGAGTAGAAAATGAGCAAGCTGAGTTCACTGAGTATAATGGACTCAATGAATGATGAGACTAGATAATCGTTATCTCATGGCACCCCCCCTTTTTTTTTAAAGCCCCAGTGTGGGCTTGAACTCATGACCCTGAGATCAAGACCTGAGCTGAGATCAAAAGTCATATGCTTAACCAACTGAGCTACCCAGGGACCCCTTATGGCACTTCTTTAAGAGTAAAGGTCAAATCAGTTGAAGTGGTTATCTGATTACTTCTGATAATGCATTAGTTTTATACATAGCACTCACAAAATTCCCCCCAAATACATCCAAATATATTAAAAATATGATATACCACTTTTTAAAAATTAAAGTTAAACATGTTCATTGTAAAATATTCAAATAATGCAGAGAATTTAAGGTGAAAAAGGTCTCCCTGCTATTCCTAAGCCCCCGGCCCAGTTTCCAGTAATAGCAACTATTAAGCAGGTTTTGTATATCCATTTAGATAAAATCCTGCTAAGTAATGCAAAAATATCTGTTCAATGAAAAAAATATTTTATGTAAATGCAAACATTTTATACTAATTGATTTGACATACCATAATTTAACTAGATATTTAGGTTGTTTCCAATGGTTTATTCTGAAGAATGCTGCAGTGAATGTCTTTATGTGTGGTGTGTGTATGTATGATTTTATATGTTTGGTACAACTTTATGTGTCTAACTCCTGCGAGTGGAAATGCTGGGTGAAAGGGACATTTATTTCAGTTTTAGTCAGTGTTGAGAGTTTAGATAAAGTGGTCCATAATATTACTGCCTCAGCATCCATTTTGTGGGGGCAAGTGACCTGCAGGGGCTTTGAACTGATACTAGTCCCTCCCTTGAATGCATGCCCTAGAGAACAACCTGCAGAGTCAAAAGTAAATTTAGTTCCCTATATGATTTCCCCAAAAATCCTTGTGATAAGCAGTCTCCCCCACCTCCCAGGGCCTTTTCATATGCACCCCCACTTAGATAAAACCCCTGCCAAGCTTACCAAAATACTGTTATTTCTGATTTTGAACCGACCAATCCAGCCTTAGCCTAGGAACCCCAAACAGCTCCACCTGTAGACCCCAATAAAAGCATGTACTCTCTCTGCCTGCACCCTGCCTTGACCTCCCTGTGTAGCCCCCCAAAGCATGCCATGTACCTCCTCTAGGACCTGTGAATAATAAACTTCTCTAATTCAATTTCCCTGTGCTCTTTTGTTGAGCCATTGGACATCCCAGAGCTCTACTTAACAAATGTTAATTTAATAAACTCACAACAGTTAGATATTGCCAAACTGCCCTACTCCTCGAAAAATTTGCCATAAATTTGGACTTCTA